ACACCCCAGGAAGCAGTTTGACATATCAAACTCAAAAATGACCTGAAATAACCATTTGAAATACAAGGCCTCCAGAATTTCCAAGCAAAGACTATAGTCAATTTCTAACTAAAAGTACTTGAGAAGTCACTGACACGACTGGCCACTCATGGCCCAGCTTGTTTTGACAAAATTTTCAAGAGGAAAAAAGTTATACAACATATAAATATACCTATCTATATGTAAGGAACCATATAAAACGTATGTATGATATATTTTATATTTAATATGTAATATACATATAAAATATCATTTTATATATCCAGGAGGATTTTAATAATAGTCTTCTATTGAGGCAGATAATAATGAAAGTAAACTCTGCCCTCAACACTAGACCGTGTGATTAGGAAAGTTCAAAAGGGACAAATAAACTAAAATACTGCATAGCTCCCTATCATACAAAACCTCCTTCTGATAATAACATGCTGACCATACTAGGACATCAGTATCACAAATGCTTCCATTGACACTAACTAATTATTCCTCAGTTGGTCTTCTCAAACACCGAGTGAGATAAAGCAGGGTATACACTGTTAACACCTATTTTACACCCAAGGAAACTAAAGATGTAAACATACAGTGACTGTTCCAGGAAGTGACAGATCTCCAGGACAGGTGGAGCCAAGAGTCTCCTGACCTCCTGCCCACTGCACTTTCAACACCATCATGCTGTCTTATTCCCCAGAGTACAACAAAATCCGAGCAGCAGAAGGGACACAGGGGAAGCCACACTTTCCCAGTCTGATGGGCCTTCAGAAACAGGCCCATCATCCCCAAAACCAAGGGAACCCCCATCATTAAATTCAGCTGTACCCACACCCACATCCTTTGGTCTCTTTTCTCAATTTCAGCTCAGACGCTTCTGTCTTTTCTTTCTTTTTCTAGAGACACACTTGGAGATGAAACCATTCATAACTGCCCATCCACAGACACTTTGTGGCAGCATAATTGACAATGAGTCTGCTGCAAAAAAATGAAAATGCTGTTTTAATAACCTTGGCCTAAAATACATTCTGTTGTATGCCTCAAAGGGTTTCAATAAAAAGTCAACCTGTAGAGACATATTTTCTTGGCTTAAACAACAATCCAAAGCATATAAATGTAGTCCAACTATAATGACACATTTACAGACCAATAAAGCTTACACTGCAGCTTTCATACTTCACTTAAAGGAACTCTGTAAGAAGCAGTGTTATATAAAATAATTTGATTTTTTCCCCCAAACTATAGCCCAAGGAATAAAAAAATGCAAGTTTGCTATGTTTAACTGATAGTGTTTATATTCCTTAGTTGCTAAAAATTTTGTAAAATGAAATAATTCTTCATTTGACGACTTCCAACTGCCATACCAAATATGGGTCTCAAGTCCACTTTATTACAAAAGCTAAGTACTGTAATTCTAAAGACAAAAATAAATAACTAGAAGCTTGTATAGTGAATGATTTAATCAACCCCATTCTTCTGGAAAAACAGGTTCCTGTGTTCGTTATGCTTATGAATAATACATTCCTTAACCCTCCTATTTTAACATAGCTCATTTTTCTCTTTTTTTCTTTTCCTATAAACTTCAGTATGAAACCGTCTGAGAGAAGGTAAAATATCTCACCGAGTAAAGTCACAATTTGAATTGGTTTCATAGTGAACTTTCTTTCTTTGAAAAGGACAAAGAGGAGGAAAGGGGACGAAGTCATTCTAACACATCTCAGGAGTGTTTTTGAAGATTATTGGTTTTCCCACTATCTAGATGTGTCATTTTCATCACCAGTCATTTTGAATCTTAAACGAAAACTGCACAGATTTGTAAAAAGCAAACATGATATCCACAAATATTGTCCTTGAAGGGGCAGGGGATAAAAAACATAAGAGCTGTGTTTCGAATCAGAGCAGTTATTGGAAGCTGCCATTTGGGGAAGAGTTTCTCTTTGCGGAGTATTAATTTGTTGGCAGACACACATTTGTGAGAACATTCTTGTTTTTTTACTCTTCAGAGAGAGACAGGAAGTGACACAAACTGGGATTAAAGGGAACTTATTCTACCTAAACATTGAGCAAGAAGAGTTCTTTAATTAGCTTTTAGGTGGCAAAATCCCTTTTTTTTTTTAAGATTTTATTTATTTATTTGAGAGAGAGAATGAGAGAGAGAGACAGAATGAGAGGGGGGAGGGTCAGAGGGAGAAGCAGACTCCCCGCTGAGCAGGGAGCCCGATGTGGGACTCAATCCCGGGACTCCAGGATCATGACCTGAGCCGAAGGCAGTCGCTTAACCAACTGAGCCACCCAGGCGCCCGACAAAATCCCTTCTTTAAGAGTCAACCTAATTATTTTGTCATTATTGATGTTTTAACGTGATGAAATACTTCGGTTAAAAACATAACGTATTGGAGTTTTATTTTAGCCACAAGAAAGGTGAGATCTTTCCCTTCTTTGCTGACTTCCATCAGAAAAAAAAAAAAAAAGAGGGGGGTCTTAAATAATCTCAGAGTTCATCTTCTTTCTTTGGTAAGAACAATGAGGAGTTGGAAGTGTTCTACAGAAGGAAAAACCTAATAAGTGTGTGAACTTCCATTAACAATGTGGTATTGGAAGTGGTTTCAGTGTGGCCAAGAGAAAGAGAGATAAGAAAACCACTGTGTAGAAAGAAAAGTACAGACAACAAATATTTTGATGTTGCAGACAGAGAAAGGAAGAGGTTGAAGAGAAAGTTGCTGGGACAGGAATGCGTACAGCAAATGACACCCCCTATCTCCCCAATATAAATCCTAACAATGTAGACTTGTAAACCTTAGATCAGGCAGATAATGGAAACTCATTACATTAAGGAAAGTTTTTGTTTCTCTTTCCACATTATTACAACACAGTGTGCATTCCAATTACAAAAGCTATTTGTCTCAAATTCCCCACAGTTCATACCAACTGAGTAGAATTTCAGGGCCCCAAATACTATCCTTAAAGGGGTATTTTACATTTAAAAAAAAAAAGGAAGAAAAAGCACATGGTATTTCTTGTTCATCAGAAGAGAGCCTCCCCATCCAATCTCCTGTTGATTATTTTCCCTTCCTCAGCACTAATTGTAGTGCTGTTTCCCAAATGAAACCAAAAACAAAACAAAACAAAACAAAACAAAATCAGAATCACCTGGAAAGTCTTTTATCAGTCCACATTCCTTGGCCTTGCCTCAATCCCACTGAATGAAGAAGCTGGGCAAGCTGGACTTAGCAATCAGCATTATATTTAAAATTCCCCTAGTGAGTTCAATGAACAACTAGATTTAAAAACCACTAAGTACTTTGAATATTCACTATAAATCAATTTCTTCTGAAATCAATTATTAAAAAGTAGATCATGGACATTTTTTAGAATTCAGTAAGATCAAACCCTCTAAATCTTTTGATAGAATTAAGAGATTGAGTTTCTCTTCAGATTCATTAATAGACTATCAATTTTAAACAGAAAACAACTCTGCTATAAATACTTTTGTTTATATGTGTGACATCAAGCTTAACCATCTACACATCCTTTTGTCCCCCGTGGGTTTCCTGTTTAGTTTTTTATTAGTAACAGTATATTCCATAACTAAAAAAAAAAAAAAAAAATCAAACAAACAAAAAAAAAACGTTTTAATGTTAGGGAAAATACAAGACAACAGCAATACAACTTAGAGCATACATTAGGAAAGTAATGCAAGAGATGTATTATTCACCATTATGACACGTCAGAAGACTAGTCACTCTGCGTTCATGAAATTAGGGAGTGTAACAGCATATATAGGAAATATAGTAAAAAAACAATTTTGGGGCTTTAAAATAAAACCACCAGATGAATAATTTTCCCTACCTGTACACATGACAGTCAGGCTGCCATGTCCAAAATATTACTGCCTGACATCTACCAAAAAATGACAGGAAACTGTTAGTCGTTGACTCATATTGCAAGAAAATATTAATACGATTCCCAAAGCACAGTACAGCTCATCACAAATCGGAATCACACAGAAGACAGTTACTGCTGTTATGCAGTCTCTTTATGCCAATTAAGTAAATAGTCTAGGTTTGTTGTAATAGTTAAATCCTAGGCTGAAAAAAACAGGAAGTTGTCACATTAAGGCATAAAATAGGGCTATGAACATCAGCATTGTGCGAGAATGAAAGAAAAAGATGCCTTAATATGTTAAAAGTGAAGTTCCTCTTTGCCTAAAGAGGAAATAACTAGTCTAACTCAGAGGTCAACAACTTTGGTCTTGAGCAATGCTAGGAGAATAAGTCAGTGAATGCCACAGGGAGATACAAACAGAAGGGGGAGAAAAAAAAGAAAAGGTCACAAAAAGTCTCTGGAGATGAAAGTGTTAAGTTAAAGCAACAGAATTAATTAGGGAGCCCCTCGCATACACCAATCATCCCTATGCTAAACCCTTTATATCTTAAATCTCAGTGATGTGTTAAAGTGCCCATCTTTTTCAGGTGGGGAAACTGAGGCTAGGAGGTTAAACAATTTGACATTGCTCTCCTGCTCCACATTAAGTAACTCCTCTCTCTTCTTCACTCTGTTTTCCACCCAATGTAAACAAACACATGAAATTCTGACATGGTGTTAATAGATGTCATACTATCTCCTTAGAACAAATATTTAAACTCTTCATTAATTCAATCTCAGGCACCCTAATGAAGTCTTATGCTTTCACACCAACGGGAAGCTGCCTAAGGCCATGTGTTATATCACCCAGTTCCTGGCACGGGGCTCCGCATGGAGAAGGCCCTGCAATCTGGCAGCCAGCATCCATTCCTTACACACCAGACAATCTGTCCATACATATTCCCAGGATACTTTGAGGTCAAAGAAATTTTTTATCTATATAAGATTATCTATATGACAGGGTTTCCAGAAAGGTCTGTGAACAACAACAACAACAAAGTAGGTTACTGTATACGCCCACACATGCGATTTGAAGTACAAATTATATTTACCAAGGTCAGCCTTTTCCTTGAGGACGTCTTTGAAGTTGAGTCCACTGTTGAGGGTTGACTGCCTGTACTTCAGCAAAGCTTCCTTCTGTCCATTCCTCCCCAAGGCAGAGGTTTTCACGGAGCCAGCTTGGAGGCCACATCTCCACTTGGAGAAATCAGAGTGTACCCACTTGACCAGGTCTTCAAGCTTCACGATTACCTTTTCGGAAACAGCAATGACTTCATCCTACAAGAGGTGGTCAGGGAAGAACAAAACATTATTGGTGGCTGGGAGGCAAATGATAAATTTTCAACAAAGCCCCTCTGAAATACTATTTGAGTGGTTTAACTTCATGCAAGCAGACAATGGGCTTGTTGGTGACAGAGAATCTTCAATAATTCACTTCAAGGGTTTTTCACTGCTAGCTGTCTAACTGAAAAATAATGTAGAAGATCTATTTGTTATACGGTAAGAAAGTGCCCAAAAATTGTGCAGTAATTCTGATAGCCATTTTTTTTTTAAAGATTTATTTATTTATTTTGAGAGAGTGAGAATGAGAGAGAGAGAGAGTACATGAGAGCGGGGAGGGTGAGCCGAGCAGGGAGCCTGATGCGGGACTCGATCCCGGGACTCCAGGACCATGACCTGAGCCGAAGGCAGTTGCTTAACCAACTGAGCCACCCAGGCACCCCTCTGATAGCCATTTTTAATGCTAGGTGCCAAAGCTCACTCTGCCCATCTGACCACTCACTCGGGTGAAAGCTAATTTTTAGGTGCAGTTAATTGCAAAAGTAAAAAGTGAGAACTAGGTGACTAATGGTTAGCCTGTCTCTATATAAATGGTCTAAGTAAATCTGGGATTCTTGGAACTCTGACTCACCCCCAAATTCCTGTGTTTATGGTACATTTTCCCTTGGCTTATACACAAATATTGAATTTAACTTTTGTCCTAAAAATTAAATAAAACTGTGATGTAATCCCAAAAGAAATACTTCATAAATGTTATGTGCTTCCCACTGAAAGAAACTTACACATTCTCATGTTTCTTAAAAACTTCGTAAGTTGAGAAATGAACTGATTTTTTCTTTTAATATATATGGGGTAAGGGGAGAGAGGGTGAGGGAGGAGAAAGCCTTTGAATCTAAGAAAAGTAGTTGAAACTTAAGTTTCTCGTATGGATCATAAATTTGAATTTTAAGCATCTCTAATTGCTTCCAGGAAACAACCAACTTTTCTGACTCAGAATTAAACCAGCAAGATATTTAATAGATATCCATCCATGGAGCAAAGGAGGGCCTCTCTTACCGGAAGATTCATTGGAAAAGACTTAAGAAGATCATCTCACTGGGTTTTAAGTTAAATTATTTGAAGCATTTGACATTTCAACTTGAACTGACTTTTTTCATTTCTTTTACTTCACATTTCTGAAGAAAGCTTAGCTGTGAAAACCCCTAAGCTTACAAAATCTTAGAAATATTTTTGATAAACAACAACAGGAAGATGTCTCTAAGCTACTAAACAAAAGGAATTCACAAGTGATTTTGGCTAATTTTGCTGTTAAACATGACTCTTTCCTCCTCCTCCTCCCCCACCTACACACACACACACACACACACACAGTACTGCACATGCTACTCCAAAGCAAACAAAAAAGGGTTTATTAAGATAAGCTTCACACAATAAGAAACCCTGGATTTAGTTTTTAAAACTGTTTTAAGGTAGGATCTAAAATTTCACTTTTCCTCATCCAGTTCCAAGCTGCTTCTGAGAACAAAGTTTGTTAGGCAGCAACAAAATAAATACTCTATCAAAAATGAAAAGTAAAACTTTCGTAATGGAGTCCTTTCTCTTATCATGATTAAATATGAACTTCCACTGAATGGGACCCAAAGTGGAAACTGTTTTTATCCTCTGCTCAAGAAAAAAAAACTCAGTACTTTATAAACAATGGAGCATATTACAAAGTACCATTTCAACGGATGATTTCACTCAGATTCACTACACCATCCTCTTGAAATAAAAGATCTGTCGTTGTCACGCATTTTATAGCTATTACATGGTGATTATTAAATGTCAGAATGAAAATTCAGGCTGGGTATTGTTTCAAAGCATATGGGAACAGCTTCTGGACAGGGCACACCAGAAATCAAGTTTAGAATATGCTGGAAAATAATTATCAGGGTATATAAGTCTCAACATTAGCAAAGATGGAATTTGGCAACAATGTTACCAAATATGGTTCCCTAGACAAGACCAGTTTGGAGATGAGTGTTATTTTCAAATAGCTCTAACTATGATCAAATGATTATCATTTCAATTACCAGTTGCTTCAGATCTTTTCCAAGAAATGGCATGACTAGCCCTGGCTGGCTTACAGCGCCCGCCAAACAAATAGTTTATTAACCAAGAGAAAATACAATCCTTATGATGTCATTGATGAACAAACCCATCCTTCAAGATTCAGTCTATAGATTTTGTCCTCCCTCCTTTTCTCTCTCTCAGAAGCTGACTTCATGAATATACACACATACATGAAAACAAATGCAGGGATTCACATAAACTCGCATAAGCCATAAACCCAAGTTTGGATGAATTGTGCAACCACCAGTATGTTTTACTGTGGATTCACAGAGAAACTGGCCTTGCAACATTGTCAAATGCCAGGATTTAGAAGGAAATCTGATAAGCAGAGGAGGGGAAGCAACAAACCAACCCCAAAAACAAAACAGCCAACATATATATAGAAAATGTCTCAGGAAACATTGCTTTGTACACACAATGGCATAAATCACATGTTCATATTTACTATTCTGAGCAAGCATTGACTAAAGTTCCTAATACTCACCGTTCTTGGGCAAGCTTCTATAACTAAGAAAAAAATTACAATAAGCTCATCTCATGATTACATTAGCTCTCTGCAAACCAAGAATTAGCACTGGATAAATATTGCTGATTTACTCTAATACAACACAAAAGGAACACAAAGAAATACACTTTGTTATTCTCATAATGTACCTTGGCTTTTCAGTTAACCCAGCTCCCCAGCAATATTTATGGAGGCTGTGTTGAGAGGTTATCGAAGTCTAGATCCCCTTTTGCCACTGTTTCAAGTGGCTTGTTTCTGTCGTTTGGATTTTGTGTCTACCACTGTATAAAAACAGCTCATGCCATCCCGGAACCCTCTCTGTCAGAGGAAAGTATCTAGCTACGAAGTCACAAATTAGCCTGTGTATTGCTGGCCTCCCCACGTGTTCTAAAAATTGGGAAACTTCACACAAGGTCTCCAGACTTCCATCTTTTCATAAAATAAAATAAAAACAAAATAGTAAAATAAGATAAAATAAAATAAAAAAGAGGTATCCGCCAATAAACAAAGCAGAAACAAAAACAGTTTAAAGTGGTTGCTTTCTTTAGATAAGATGGGAGATCTCTAGTTTACGGGTGACCCATCACTCCCTACTGCCTTATAGTCAGTCGATGTTTCCCTCACCCGCCTGCCCCCCCCCCCGCCGGGGCTGCCGGCCAGCGGGTAAACAAGCACACCCTGATATGGTCCACCTCCTTCATGTTATTGACGAGGACAGTGAGGTTCAATGACATAGCCTCGTACCACCTTCCGATAGGACCTGGACAAGCCTCCAGGCTTCCTAACTGCCAACATAGCATTCATCCTGGACTCTGAAGTCTTTGCCTGGGTTTGAGTCCCAGGCCTGCAATTTACACTGTGAAGCACCGGGAAACTTCTTTAACCTCCCTGTGCTTCCATTTTATTTAATGTATTTTTTTTAAAAAAGGACAATAAGACTATCTACCGCTTATGATAACTGCGAGGATTAAATGGGCTAACATAAATGAAGTAGGATGTCAGAGTTAGCGACACGTTCATTGTCATGAGTCCTCCGCTCTGATGTTTTCCAAAGTGTACCATGCAGAGATGAGTGTAGATGGTTCACGGGTAAACTTTTTTTTTTTTTTTAAAGTTACTCATTGCTTATTTATTTTTGTGGTTACTTTCCATTTATGGGAAAGTAGTACTGGTTTTCCATTTATAGGAGATTTAGAAAGTTTCCTCTTTAAATAAATTTAAGTTAAAAAAATAGGCCAATTTGAACAAAACCATTAAGTAAACACAGGACATGCGGGTATGGCAAAAAAAAAAAAAAAAAGATAAAAGACAAGATGCTATGAAAATGAGTGAAATTTAGGACAGTGTATTATGTCGGTGGTTCTCAAAGTGTAGTCCAGGAACCCTGGGGAATCCCCAAGATTAGTTCAGGTGGTCCATAGAAGCAAAACAAAGATCATAATAATACTAAGACATTATTTGCTTTTTTCAGTCTTATTTTCTTTCAAGTGTATAGTGGGGTTTTCCAGACACTATATGACATATGGTAAGGCAGGAGAGTAAATGCAGAAGCAGATATGAGAACCCAGCTGTCTCTATTAAGCTAGACAGTCAAGAGCTTGTAAAAATGGAAAACAATGCTACTGTTTTTACTGATTTTTTTTTGTTTTTCCAAATATGGTTAATTTTCATAAAAATGTGGCACTTATATAATGGGTTTATATTGCTATTTTCATTTTTTAAATTAACTTACAGTAAAATTTCCTGTTTTGATGTACAGTTCTATGAGTTTTAACACATGGCAACCACTGATATGTTCTTGCTATCGAGTTCTCTTTTCCAAATGTCATATAAATTGAATCATACCATCTGAAATCTTTTGAGACTGTTTCTTTCACTCAGCATAATGCCTCTGAAATACATCCATGTTGCTGCATGTATCAACAGCTTGTTCCTTTTCACCACTGAGTACTATCTCCCGTGACATGGATGTGTCATAAGATTGTTTCTCCATTCACCCACTGAGGGACACCGGCTTGTTTTCAACTTTGGGGACTACAAATAGAGCTGCTGTAAACATTCACATCAAGCTTTTTCTGTGAACAGACATTTTCAATTCTCTAGAACAAATACTCAGAAGAGGGACTGGTGGGTAAGTGTCTATCTAATTTTGCAGAGACCGTTTCCCAGAGTGGCTGTACCATTTTGCACTCCCACCAGCAATGGAGGAGAGTTCCAGTCGTTTCTCTTCCTTGCCAGCACTTGATACGGTTTTTGTTTATTAACTTATTATTGCCACTCTAATATGTATGGAGTGGCTTCTCATCATGTTTTAAATTTTCATTTCCCTAACGACTAATGATGTTGAACATCTTTTCAGGTGTTACTTTTTCATCCGTAT